TAGGGTTTTGCAACTTCGGTTCAGGGCATAGCCTTAGGAAATTCAGCATGTGGTGTTTACAGCTTTGGCATTTGGGGTTCAGGGATCTGGGGCTTGGGATTTGGCGTTCTTTGCAACCTCAGTGGTCTACAGCTGAGGACGCCGGGCAAGAATATGTCGAATTCGATTGAGCAAGCGGGCTCCGTACTGCTTCCTCAAGCCCCCGGGGCTGCTCGGCCGGGTCGTGGCGAAGACCGCCTCGGCCCCAAACCTGGGCCGCCTTGGGCCCCTGCCTTTGACCGGCTCACAACAGATGTACGAGAGAGTCTTCAGACCTGTGTCCTGTCATGGCAGGTGGTCCTCCGAAGTACTTGGAATCTCCATGGCGTAGATTTCAAGAACCAGCCATGGTGCAGTGGTTTCGGGAGTCTTCATGCATGGGCATGAGCTTGGACAAAGATCCTACTAGTAGCTCGAAGCCGCCAGTTCTCCCACAGCGCGGGACAGTCGTCGGATCCTCAAGACGTGCAAAGAGCAGAGCTTGCTCGAACCTCCTCAGAATGGCAGCGAAACATGCGCTCTAGTACCGCAGTGGCAGTAGATGTCGAGTCTGAAGTGGAGCCGAGACTGACCCGTTTGGTTTGCTTCTTGATTCTGAATAACTTTGTCTGCCTCGAATGCGGCATCCGCATCTTTCGCCGCAGGGAGGTCAGAAAGAAGCCAAGCCAGCACTCACCCGCCGATGTGTGTACGCTGCAGACCTCTTGTAGCGCCGCTGAAGCAGTAACTTCAACACCAGGCCTCGAACGGTAAACTCCTCCGTTGCAATGCCGAGGCCTCAGCAGGGCATGAGTCTTCTTCTTGAGGCGAGGAAAGTGATGGTGTCGGCGAGGGTGACAACGGACCTGGGTATGATAGTAATGTTGTTGATGACGACGGCGATGATGACGATGTGGAGGTTGAATAAGTTGTTGTTGATGATGCTGGTGATGCTGCTGTTGTTTTTGTTGGTGCTGTTGAGGGTGATGCTGTTGGTGATGATGAGACTTACGGTGCTGATGATGGTTGAGATGATGTTGGTTACCGTCATCAGCACTATCAGAAGCGCATGATCCTCATGTTGTTGGCCTTTATATCATGCCTGCATGTTAGTCAGTCACCGCAATACAGTAGCAGGAAGTGGTCCTTTCCCTTGTCGTATCTGCCCACAGACACCGTCTTCGCCATCAAGGCCATGACTGCTCGTCATGCTGATCATGTGGTGATGCTGCTACGGTTCGTGGTTGTGCAGTGGTTGCTGCGGCTTGTGTCGCTTCCTCGCCTACCCCCTCTTCTTACAAAGGACAGTATCACAGGATTTGGTTGGATTCGAGCTTGATCGCTTGATCCCCACAAGCGGAGACTCTTAGGTTAAAGGTTTGAACTTTTGAGGCCTTGTTCCACAGAATGTTTGGTGGTTCATGCTCTACAGACCTCCGACCGCTGGGGCAACGTAGCGACAGGGGCACGAAGCATCCCACATCCGTGCCGAGGCGCTGAGGGATGAGGGCCGCAGTTCCGGTCTCCATCGACGTGGTTCGGAAGGGGACAGGCGCTGCCCGTGGGTTTCAAGCGAAGGGACTTGGGGCTCCGGCTCAGCCTTGTTGAGACTCCCCGAATCCTTACAGTGCCGAAGAACTACCTGAAACGTGTCCGACGTGCCGCCTCCTGGAGTGCGGACCCTAACTCCCCAACTTTAACTCCGGAGCTCGACCCAGAATTCCCAAAGACCACTCTCGCTGCAGGTCACAGCACGACGACCTTTACTGTCGACACCTCTTTTTCCCGGCAACCTAAACCATCCCCTCAACACCGGAACGCGGAAGCTGGGGTTCCGGCAGCCCCCAGTGCCGCTGCATCATATAGCAGTTTTGAGCCTGTTTGACAGTCTGTGACTGTTTGTCAGTATCACTGTATCACTCTCTGCTACTTCTCGTAGCGCTTTCTCGTTTTTACGCACTCGCGGCAGTGTATCGCATCTATCCATGCTATCCCCGAAAAATCCGTAGGCTTAAATGCACGAGATGGTGTCGACTATCTCGGTTCATCTTAGCAGAGAGCCCTCGGCCTCGGCCCACGTTCGAGCAGGCCTCATGAACGTGCCGGAGTTGAAGGACAAGGCCAGGCCTGGGGAGCTGCAGTGGTCTGGAGCTCTCACTCGCGCGCTTGTTGTATCGGCACAAGACCGCACTGCCCGAGTGCCGCGCAACGCTTCCAATCCTGTGCTTGTTTACTTCTACTACTAGTTTTTAGTTACTAGTTACTAGTTACTAGTTACTAGTTACTAGTTACTAGTTACTTGTACTACTGCTAGTACCAGTGCTACTTGTACTACCGGTAACTAGTACTACTAGTACTACTAGTACTGCAAGTACTACTAGTACTACTAGTAGTACTACTACGACGACGACTACTATCTTTATCGTCGATACCTCGCTTCCCCGCACATTCCCTCAACCCCAAATCGTGCAATGAAGAAACCCTTCACCGAATCCTGTTCCGATGCCAGCTTTGACTATGACGTTCCGCTTCCAGAAGTCGCCGCGCCCGCACTTCGTTCTCGGTGCAAAGGACTCCGAGGCGGCGGAGGGCGTGGGAACCCTAGCAGAGTGTAGGGATTGGGCTTTCAGGATGTTGAGTTGAGATGGTCTAGAGGTGCAGAGAGACGTGCATAGGGATTGTGACTTTGTCTTAGCACTTTTCTGAGCGGAACCTGTGGTTCGAGCAGCCCTTAGTGCCACTGCATCATGTGGTATTTTTGAGCCTGTTTGACGATCCCTCTCTGATTCTCGTGCCCTTCTTATTCTCGCGGCGAGTTGTCTTGTCGTCCTGGCAGTTGCAGCGTTGTGTCGTAAGACGGTGCCCGCGGCGCCCGCACATTCTGGTCGACTACCTCGGCTCACCTGAGCAAATACGCCTCCGCCTAGGTTGAAGGACACGGCTGAGCAGCTGCAGGGGCCTTGAGCCCTAAACTCGCGCATTCATTTTTTGCCACCAAGCAGCGTCGGCACAAGCTTTGCATGTGCTGGTCATGAAAACCGCACTGCCCCGAAGGCGTGGATTCCAATCCCGTGGATGATTACTTCCACACCCTGGACTTGTATTTCAATCGTGGAGGCAGGGGGCGTCTGACAAGCAAGCGTTGATCGGACACCTGCGAGATGCATGCTGGAGAAGCAGACCCGGCCGTGTGTTGTTCATATATCTATATATATATATGCATATATATATATACACATACAAACTACTACCATTACGGTAAACATTATTTTTGTTATTTATTGTCACTATTGTTCCGGCAGTTATGACCAGCCTTGCTGCAGGCAGCCTCCGCCCAGGGACTTTGGTGCCTTCAAGTAATCAAGCGTTGAGGCCGGTCTGTTCCTGGCCCTTGGAGCGCCAGGTTGAACGTGACGAAAGCCGCCTGCTTCCAAACAGAGGTGCCCGGATGTCCTGCCGCAACTCTTTTCATAAGCATGTGGGTGATGGGCGTCAGGTAATAATGAGCATATCCGAAGCAAGCAGAAAGGGAATATAACTGAGTTGAAGCAGTGGAGTAGCAGTGCAGTGGCAGTGTTGGGTTGTCGACTAGGCCGGCTTTTATGAGCGCACCCGATCCCATGTTTTTGCCAGGTATGGTATTCATGCGAAATTGAAATGAAGACAGCACTTGCTCGATGAAGTGGTGGTGCCGTCATGCATAAGGGCTCGCAATCCCGAGCCTCTCTGTTGTTGACTGCAGCTGCGGCTCAAGCGATCGCAGATATATTGCGTTGAGCCCCGGACGTGCCACGAGAGTTGCAATTCAGCATACCTGGGTGTGGGCTTGGGTCCGGGAGGAGGGGTTCGAAGTGGTTCAGAATAGACTGCTGGTGGATCTACAACTTTTCCTGTGCTTGTTCAGAGATAAACCCGTGACCTTGCGGCTGTTGCGCGCAATACTTTATGTAGCCGCAGCCACAGAGCGGATCTTCTCAGGGACGCAACATGTTTTCGGTGAACGACTTACGACGGACGTCGCGCCCACGAAACGAATCTTCTCATGTTTTTCTGCCCCACAGATGTTGGACATCGAGGTTGAGCAAATCGCACTTCTGCAAGCCTTGTACCTTATTCCTGAAAGTGATTATTGGCTGAGTTTTTAGCATCATTCGATTCATTCGGCAAGCTTCAGGGAACGTGTGCATGCTCAAATACTGGACATCTGGCACCTCAAACACACAGATTAGGCATCTTCGAACTTTTCGCCTAGGCTAAAGCTTGCCAAATCCCGAACCATAGCGGCTGAGGTGCCTTTCAATGCCGCGTTTCGGCCTCATCGGCGATTCCAGCCTGTACGTGAAGAGCGGCAGGCATGTGAGAAGGGTGGGTTCCCAACTTCGAGAAAGTTTGGGCACGACAGACCTTTGGTATCGCGCCGTCGCCAACGCGGGCGTGAAAGAAATCCTCCACATGCTGAAGAACACGTCGTTGACCTTCGCAACGCTTGGCATTTCCTATTTTGGGAACGACATAACGGAAGGGAGGATCCGCCCAGAGGTGCGCTGCATCGTTCATTCTGCGCACCTGATTGATCACCTTCAAACCTGTGTATGGGGGGCAATGAATTATTTGCAGGGCAATGTTTTTATATTGAGCTTCAACTGGTTTCACCGCTTGTTGCCAGGTTCAAGCCGCCTGGCAAGAGCTGATGAACTTGGTGGAGGAAAAGGCCCAGCATGTGGTCTTCGTGGTAGGGGGCAGCTACTGGTGCCTTCGAGCGCAAGCAGATCTTCGGGAAACTGAGGGTGTTATGCGGATTTGGAGCTGACGACGGGGGGCTTGTGGTGTTGGATGCGGTTTTGGACTTAGCCTGAACCGGGTTGGAGTGTTTGTCTGGCGGAATTGTTGTAAGTTGAGAGGATTGGATGCCAGTCCCGTGATCCCCTGAAATGTTGACCTACACTTTAAGGCTTGAGATGTTGGTGCGGTGTTTATGCAATCTATCATTCTCATAAATACGCCAAACACGCAGTTTCTCCTTCGTGCAGTGTACCCTTCCAAGACAAAGAGGGACTGCCAAGTGAGCAGCAAAAGCATCTTTGTAAGCCCCTTCAAGCTTCCATGTCTGTTCGGGGAAGGGTAGTCGGGAGCAAAGGTTGGGAGCGGAGACACTGAGGAAGTATGCCGACAAAGCCAAGCAGTACGGCATCACGCCGCAGTATGACGAGAATCTGGCGCAAGTGAGGCTGTGAGCATGCATGTGTGGTGACTTCTGGCGCGCAAGCAGGTTGTCTTAAGACCGCATTTGCTGGCCGACAGGACATGGCTTAGCCATCGCGGTCATACGGTTCACAACTTCCAGAAGCAGCTTGGGAGGTGGCAACTGAATGGCGACGGGATCCATTGGGACGTCGACGTGGCAGAGGAGCACTTCACGAAAGCTGAACCCCGGTTTTAGCCATTTTAGCCCCGAAGCAGTTGTGCAGGAGTTGTGCGCCACATGGGCAGATCTCCTCAGCCCCCCGCGCCTCCTGGCCACGACACGTGAGGTTCTTGTAGCGTAGTCTACGAACCCCATGTGTGGCGTAACTTACAGCACGATCTATAAATTGCAATTTTCACGATAAAGGTTTACGTTGTGTTGGGCATTAACATCGTCACTATGACATTACTATGAGTGCTGCTGTTGCCGCTATGAACACCACGGCGACTACTGCTACCCCTAGACTCCTACTCCTACTGCCCATATGACTACTACTGCTACTACTGCTACCGCTACTGCTGCTGCTGCTGCCGCTGCCACTGCTACGGCTGCTGCAGCCGCTATCGCTTCTGTTACAGCGACTGCTGCTTCTGATTCTGCTTGTGCTGCTGCTGCTGTTGCTGCCGCTGCTCCCGCTCTTTTGATTTGAAAGGTTTAAGCAATCGATTCCGAACATGTGAGACGAGAGGTGTTTCAGGCGAAGTCGAGCCATGTCGCACTTTGGGGATCTCCTTTGGGCAAGATTGGTTTCGCAGAGATGCCTGTGACCAGTACTGTGCAAAAGGCCGGTGCGACCACGAGGAGGGCTCCAATCACAGCCCCTGGGGTGATGACATCAGCCCTTTCACAGAACCAACATTCGTAGACAGCATCAGACGACAAAGACCATGGGTGCAACATCGTGAACTTTTTGTACCTGCCTGGCGCAAGGCTGTCGGTATTGGCGAAATGAAGACAGTGACTCGACAGCACGGCAACATCCTGCAATTTGCATTTTCCGGTTCATGCACATGTCAGGCTGTACTGGTGTGGAGTGGTTGTTGCTTTGCAGCAGGTAATTGGAACCAGGACAACAGATCCTTCAAGAGGCGCAGGGTCGATGATGGCAGCAACCTGGTTGCGGAGTCTCACAGAAAATCAGCCAGTGCTGATACTGTTTGGTGTTTAGGCTTGGTGTTGCATCACCACGCGGAAGCCTGCGCACGAAGGTCAGGAGCGCCGGCAGCCACGATGGACGACAGCAATCAACCGCGGCGCAGGTGCCATTCTCATCAACATGTACCAGTATATGTGCCTGGTGATATCCAGCCGACTAGTTGCGTTTGCGGCAGTGTTGATCTGCGCGGACAGTCCAAGGCGTTGCGCGCGGGGAGACTTCATGGAGCAGTTGGCGAGGCCCCGGCGCAGCAGTGAAAATGGTATCTTCCAATTATGGGAAAGAGAAATTTAATACGGGAGGGATGACTGAGGTCAATGCAGGTTGACGTCCGCAGCACGGTCTTAAGTTGTGACATTTGTTGATGTAAAGTCTGGGGTGTATGGCTTAGCATCCGAGGTTTATGGTTTATCGCGGGTTTCTCGAAAGCACTGACCAAGACTAGTTTCGTAGAGATGCTTGTGACCAGTATTGAACGTTTTATTACCTGCCTGGCCATGGAGGTCGGCATCGGGGAGATGAAGATAGTGACCCGACAGCACGGCAATCGCGGCAACATCCTGCAATTTGCCTTCTCCGGCTCATGCGCATGTCAGGCTGTACTCATGTGAAGTGGTTGTCAGTGGTTGTTGCTTTGCAGCAGGTCGTTGGAGCCGTTTGGTCTTCAGGCAGGGTTTTGCATCACCACGCGGAAGCATGTGCACGAAGGTCAGGAGCTCCAGCAGCCACGATGGACGACAGCAAGCAGCCGCAGCGCAGGTGCCATCCTCATCAACATGTACCAGTAGCTGTGCCTGGTGATGTCCAGCCGACTAGTTGCGTTTGCGGCAGTGTTGATCTGCGCGCGCAGTCCAAGGCGTTGCGCGCGGTGAAACTTCATGGAGCAGTTGGCGAGGCCCGGGTGCAGCAGTGAGTATGGCATCTACCAATAATGTGAAAGAGAAATTCAATGCGGGAGAGAGGAGGTTAATGCCGGGTGACGTCCGCAACACGGACCTGAGCTGTGACATGTTGGGATGTAAAGTCTGGGGTTTATGGTTGAGCATCCAAGGTTGGTCGTTCAGGGTTTAGGGCTTCTCCTCAAAAGCATTGATCAAGATCAGTTTCGTAGAGGGGCTTGTGACCAGCATTGTGCAAAAGGCTGGTGCGACTACGACAGAAATGGCTCCCACAACAGCCGCTGGGCTGATCTCAGCAATTCGTTCACAGACCGACATTCGCGGACAACATCGGACGACAAATGCAATTGGTGCAACATCGTGCAACCTGTCAATCCTTGCCTGGGCTAAGGCGGTCAGTATTGGCGAGATGACAGTGGCCCGACAGCATGGCAACAACCTGGAATTTGCATTTTGCGGTTCATGCGTATCTCGGGCTGTGCTCATGTGCTCACGTGAAGTGGTCAGGTTGGTGGAACCGCCACGACAGTTCCTCGAAAAGGCGCAGGGTTCATGATGATGATGCCAGCAGCTCGGTTTCAATTCCGATGATTGGGGGTTGCGACTTCTGTGCGACGCACATGAGGAAAGGATCGCACGATATCGCACTGTAGACTCTGCAATGGCAAGGGCCCAAGCTAAGGCTGCAGCTCTTGGTCAACATGGGGCCTAAGTTGGGCCCTTGAGATTAAGCCCTCGGCCCAAGCCCAACAGTCATCCAACACCACCCGGCTTTGTTGGGGCAACGCGTACTTCTATGATCCGCATCGTTTTTCCTTCCCGATGTGAGTGATGGGCTAAGATCATGATGTGTGCATCTATGCTAGCATTTTCATCGTCACCGGTACTCGTGAGGTCCCTGACTTTGAGCCCGGTGTCCTGTGGTCCGATACCCT